TTTTTATTCGAAGATAAAAATCATCATCCTTATGCTATGGTTACATTTGGTGGTGGACATCGTGCTTGTTTGGGTCAAGATTTGGCACAATTCGAACTGAAATTGATGATTGTTAGACTTATGCAACGTGGTGTATCATTCGAAGATACACCCGAAAATATTGGTGGAGGCAAACAACATGTTACCTGTGCTCCGAGACATTTAGTTGTGCGTGTAAGAATCGATCATGATTGATATGTAGGATATGTGCGATCGAGACTAAAAGCCGCATTCAATCGTCGAATACTCAGTTGGATGGGATTTGATTCGTTCGATTTCAGAAATTTCATAGAAAGTAAATGATGTGAGATGATACGACGATTTATCACAGTAATAAAGATATGAGTACAAGATTGTCATGAAGTATTTTTCAGAGCTGAAATTTTTTTAAAGTACAATTATGCTCGTTAAGAATATCACAATCATAGAAGTCGACAAAAGTGAATGTTCGAGAGAAGACAGCATCTTATTCATACAAAACTTCACGTAAACACACAGTTTAGAGCCTCGTTTGGTTTCCGAGAACTCTGAGACATAGTTCTCTGTACGTAAAACAAAGTGCATCTTCGGTTTGAAAATGTTGGTATTCAATGCGATCAGAAAATTTCAGAATGAGCTTTGAAATAGACCAAGCTCACTCTTCGATAAGTAACGGGTGGTGCAGAATAAATGGCACCCTCAGTGTTTTTAGAATATCTCACTCAAATTGTGATGTAGATACTCGAGATTTTTTTTCAAAACTAGCCCGAGCAATTCTCTACAAAATCTTATGCAGAGAGATGTTCAAACGACCACCTATTGAGTTATGGTCCGATCAACATTGAAATGCTCGAAAATGACACACTTTCAATGCACTCATTTTCATAGTAGCGATTTTGCACCGCTCTTTCGACTCCATATAAAGAGACTGAATAGGTCACTGTGTAAGCCCATGAAAAGCTAGAAAATTGCACGGACTATCTTATGGTAAGAAAGCTCAAGTATCTACGTCACAACTTGAACGAAATATTCTAAAAATACTGAGGGTGCCATTTATTCTGCGCCAGCCGTTACTATTCATGGCGTAATTCGATCATGAAATCATCCACTGCAAGAGAGAACTGAGAACGCCATTGTATAGAAACACGCAAGTTTAATTCATCCAGATTTAACCCTAATACGATTTGAATTAGGCTGAGAGCAAAGAGATTCTTCACGACTTGATTTGAATTTTTTATCTTCGATGCAGGTTTTACAGCCTGATGGGCTCTGTCACAAGATCGAAACGCGTCGTGGCTGTTTATTTCTATACTCCCCATAGTATAAAATGAACTTTCTGCTGCGCTTGTCCTCTAATTACTTTGATTTTAATGGACTTCTTCTGAATTCTGTTGATTTTAAAGTTAGTTTGTTGATTTTATGCAGATATCTATTGCCGCGTGATGAGATCTGCTGAATACAGATCGAAACGCGTTGTGGCTGTTTATTTCTATACTCATCCTCATCCTCAACTTCACACCCTCACAGCTGCATCCGTTCTCCATTTATTCAACAAATAGTGAAATGCGTTACATTTTGAAACGAATAATACTTGAGTCTCGCTTTTTACCTATTGTCTTTATTACTTTTGTAATATATTTTTATCTATAGCATGTTTTATTTGCGTTGTTTCGGCGAAGTTGAAAATCATAAAATACAGAGAATCAAGTTTCAAAAAGAAAAAGAAACACTCCACATATATTTTATCGTGAGGGCTCTTCATACAGTTATCTATCTCACAATACAAGCAAATATTCCTATATTGCTGATATTGCAGAACAAAATGAAAATATTTTCTTCCAGTCATTTATTGCTCACATCTCTAGCGAAAAGAACCAACCCAGTGTGTCACAGAGTGACTATGACTCATCGGACGATCTTCTCTCACTACCATTGCATCATCCTGCTTTCTTCTTACGTCCTACTACTACGTCATCATATGATGACATCTTCATGTCTCGTCATTTTATCATCTCTATTGTTCCTATATGTCCCGGGCATTTCATTATATTATTCTATTGTTCTTTCAGGCTCTGAATATCTCATCATTTTTCTCATTGTGTTCTATCATTGACCTGGTGCTTGCATCATCTTCTTGTAGACTATTTATAGCAGAAGCTTTCGCAATAAAATCATTCATATTGACCGTCTCAAATCAACATATAATCTACAGAGTTATACACCTGATAGGTTGCTCCAACCTTTCACAAAGTGGAAAAAGCGCCGTAAAAATAATGACAAATTTAATTACAATTTTCATTTCCGTCACTTTACTGATTTCTCTTGTATCCGGTTTTATGCGCGACGATCAAGAGTACGCTAAAACACAAAAGAAAAATCATCAATGTACAAATTATAAAAGCGTAATTAAAGAACGATCAAAAGGCAGATATTTGCAAGTTACCACCGCATACTGGGCCCACAATTCTGGACTATGGTTATTCTGCAAGCAAATTTAAAACCATATCTGATTGCCAGTAAAAACTGGGATTTTTCTGCTCACCTAATCAATAATGAAGTACTTGTGTCGAATCAATCAACACTACAGGGACTTATCAATGGTGAACATGATAAAAATACATTTAACAAAGATCTATTACACATCAGTACAGCAAAGAAGACACATGAGAAAACTCATTTGACTTGTCGTTATAAAGATGAAGCTCAGCATATCAATTTAGATGAATCGGACCAAGTGAGCATGGATTGGTTTCATTGTTGTTGCCCGAAAGAATTAATTAACCGGGAAAATCCAGAAGTACTGGTCTTGATGTTGAAAGTGGCAAGGCACGCATCGGTGAAGGAACATTTGGGCTTGTAACACGGATAGTCATGGACGAATTATTTTCGCCCTTTTTTATCGCTCATTTTTGAAAATGACTTTTTGCCAGTAAAGTTCACGTTTAGTTCGAAAAAAAATGTATCTACGATAAAAAAAGATATTTTGAACAATTTTTCTTATTTACCTGGATATTTTCCTGAAAAAGCATAGCATTTTTTGATTTCCTGAAAAATGGGTCATTTAAAAGTCATATTTAAATATACTTATTATAAGTTTGAGTGAAATTTATTTTTCTCTCAAACACATATTCCGATTCGCCGTGATCTCCTGATCACGAATATGGCCTTATTTTTTAGTTTTGATCAAGTGTTCGCGGATAAAAACGGAAACGTTTTTTCCACGATGTTAGCGATTTGTACAGGGAAAAAAATGGAAAAGAGAGACTAAACCGGCCAATTTTTTGACCTTTTTGAGGTTTCGGCGAATTAATTCTGCACAGGAAGATGCCAGAAACTTCGAAGAAGTCTCATTTTACTCAGAATTCGACTTTCTATCGATCTAGACCATTTTCGGAAAAGTTGGCCTCCAAAGGGTTTACAAAGACCCGGTTTTCATGAAAATCAGTTTTGGAAAATCTGGATTTTCCGAAGTTATTCTCAACATTTAGCGCTGTCTGGAACCTAGAAATCCATTATTTAAGCTTATTTGAACGAAATATGGCTGAATTATTTAGAAAACACTTGGCCGATTTTAAGGTGTTCGTATTGCAGGCGCTATATCTCGGTTAGAAAGCGCAATATCAAAGAAAAGGAAGCATTAGTTTGTAGCGCGTATTGCGGCGGTTCGAATGGTGTGTTAGATAAAATGAGATTCATTTGAGCTTCGTATAACATTTTTTCATTTAACTGCATCAGGTTTACAGAAGAGCCTCGAATTATCAAAGGCCACAAACCAACCAGAAACTAAAAACCTGCTATTGAGAACTTTCATCAACTGAGTGCAACTAAATGAAAAAATGTTATACAAAGCTAGAATACTTCTCATTCTACTAGAAATCTACTTTCCAGAGACGCTATTTTCAATCTTCTCGTCAGGAAGTCCTTAAGCTATTAAATTTGTTCTCTATCTTGGTCGAGGAGAAAGTCGAAAATACAAATGACCTAAACTTTTGTCCACTACGTTACACATCATAAAACACAGACTCTCAGAATTTCTGGCTTTATTATTAGATGATACGTATTTATTGCCTAGCATGATCCAACGCGTCTAATTTAGTGGCTTTAACAGGTTAAAAAGTAAACGTTTCGTAAAGTCGAATGCCAAAAACTGAAGGTTGGTCAAGATCAGTCCAACTGATAGTTTGCAGATTTTCACCAAGAAAGAGTCATTCAAAAAACCTGAAACTAAACAGTTATTGGTGAAAATAGTTGCTCTATCCAAATATGTAAACAAAAATGCAGTGTGAGCGTATTTTGAGCAAAAATATTAAGAAAAAGAGGAAAAATTGTCAAAAATCGGCCACAATCCTTCACTGTCACCTCTGCACTCCAAACGAAACCTTGAACCAATGTGAAACTTACACGCTAGACGCAGTTTTTCACGCTCCATTCGCTCGTGCTAAAATAAAAATCGAAAATGTGTAGAACGTTCTTGAAAACACTAATTGTGGCCGATTTTTGACTATTTTTCCTCTTTTTCTTAATAGTTTTGCTCA